AGCTATTAACAAGTTCTTCGGGCGCCGTGTCGTTTGATGTGCGGTCAGAAGGATCGAGTGGTGACGGCAGCAGGCGCGGTCTGGCAGCAGCGAAGATATTTATGAAGGGGAATAGACGAACAGGCAGCGACGGGATCACGGGCAGACAAGCTGGTGGTTGATGCGTCGGCTGGCGAGCTCTTCTTCTCTCGGGGGAGCGACGGGACTGGCGCGCTCGCACAATCTCAGATTAGGCGGGGGGTAAGCTGGTCCAACTGGGGGAGCAGGTAGAAGATGCAGAAGCGGCACTTGTTGTCGAAGAGAGCGAAGGGAGAGAGGTAGAGAGGAAAGGGCGAGATGGAGGGGCCAGGAGAGAAAAGTGACGAGCAGCGGAGGAGCAGCGAGCCATGGACGAATGCGAGCGCTATAAGTGACGGGGGACCTGTGGCAGCGACAGCGACCCTGCATCGAGCCTAGCGCTGGCAGGCCCCCTGGCCGCGCTGGACGCACGCTTGAAACGCTGGGCCTGATGCGTAATGACTGCGCTTGGGCCGTTCCTGCGTGCGAAGGCCCTCGTGTGCGAGCTGGAGCACCTCGCTTTGATGCCGTGACGGTGCATTGCGCGAGGTTGAGTGCTGCTACTGTACACAAAGCGTTCGCTGCGCTCGCGGGTTTCAGGCGCTGGGCGTCATTTGCGGGATGCTCGCTCCTGCCGCACCGGGCGAGGGCCCTGAGCGCTCCTGCCCGACGCCACGACCGTACCTTCCTCGCGGCGCACCCAGCAAGGGCAAGAGCGACTGGCAAACAGAACCACCGAAACAGCGTCTCTCATTGCTCGAGCCCCAAGCCCACGAGCACACCGCAAGACGTGATCCACTGCATCGATAGCGTCTATCTACGCCATCTCGGCCAGTCGTTCGTAGCGTCCCAGTAGTTACCAACGGCGGCTATGCGCCTGCGCGCTGCTACTGGCCAGTCCCATCGCGGCCACCGCAGCCCTTCAGCCACGCACACTCGCTCTAAATATACCCACCACCACCTGTTCACCAGCTCCAGCGACTCCTCTGCAAAGGCATTGGTGTGCACCCGTCTCTGCTCCGCAACGATGAACAGCGTGGCATGCGCATGAATGGATCCAAGCCCGGCACATCCCATCTCAAATCATTCACCTGTCTGTCAGCAGTCAGCTTCCAAATGTCCGCATCACCCACGCGCAATCTGCAATGCATGTCGTGCGGGAGGAGCATGCTTGTTGGCGTGTGCCGACCCCGGACCTGGCTGCTGTCACGCTCCCACTGCAGATCCAGCGAGATGCTCGGTGCCTTGGGGCGGCCTCGCAATCGAGTCCCTTTTTTCCACCTTTTTTACACGCGTCGGCTTCCGCGGTCTTTCAATCAACTCGTGCCAATGCGCGTGCAGCCCCTTCTTCGCTGTCGCCTGCCGTTTCGTCCCGGGTCTACCCTGCTGTCTCGCTCTGAAACTGTCGCTCCGTCTCAACCACCGCAGCCCGTGCGTCGCTCCCTCATCTCGCTAGACTCTCCCTGCAGCAACGCCTGCCAAGCCAGACATGAAAGCGTGAAACATGCTCTCGTTATCGTCACCTAGCGTTTGGGCCCCCGAAGCTGTGGGATGCGGAAGGCGCGCTGTCAGGGCGATGCTTGAACGCTGATCTCCATTCGCTTGTGGGGACGACGCCCCTTCGTATGGAGAAGTCTGAAGACAACTCACAGGTATGTATCATCGTCCAAGCAGGCTCACCAGTCGCGCCGCTACCGCCTGCTGTACATCGTTAGACTCGCTTGCCCTTCGCGAGACTATCGAATCTAGCACCGAGGCCATTCGGAGTGAACCCGGCTACCGGTATCGTATTGGCAGCCGTTCGGTCAGAGCCGCCGTCTTTAGCGGGCAGTAAGACTGCTTACGTCCGAACCGGCCGATTGCCCTTCGAAAAGAACCTCATCAGAACGCTTTCGTTCTGGACCGGAAGCCAGCGGCAACGATTAGTGGGGCGCATGAGCCCGTTCGGGAGCGCAGAAAAAAGGCAGGAGTGAGGCGCAGGACTAGACACGACAAGGCAACATGAGTTTTATATGCCTCGAAGTTGGAAGGCTTGACATATCCAACAGAACGATGCATCGCAAAGTCAGCATCGTCACACGTGTTGTCCAGACGAGTTCCCTCACCAGACAGACAGCTCCTGCACCATCAGCGCTTGAGCACGCGCTTGCGCAGCTCTGTTTCATGAACACGATCGTCGAGGCCGTTGGAAATAGTGTGCCTCTGGCGCCGCAAGGCTGCATGTTTCGAAATTTCCAAAGCTCCTCGCCCACACATCGCGTAGACCTCCAATCTTTGCCTTGGCTCACCAGTGGGATGTCATCCTCTCACTGGATCGATGCTATTAGACATCGTCCATTGTGTACATACTGCCTTGGACCCTCCCTTTCCTTCTCAGTACCACGGGGTGAGAGACAGAGCAGCTGAGAAAGTAAGCTCTATCACCTTGTCCACGCTCAGCGCAGTCACGAGGTCGTAGATTGATGGGGCGTTCCAAAAGGTCTGGCCTCTTCCATGTGAAGGCAAGGAGTGCGCATCGATATGAAAGAGTTGACATGTCGTCAGCGCAATGCAGAGTAAGTTCTTCAGTTCATCTGTCGCTGACGGATAATTTGGAAAACCGACGCCGTTTGACTGATGATGTTCCCGTACTATTTGGAACGTGTTAAACAAGAGGAACGACGCTGTTGCTTGAATTCGCACAGCCAATCGTCCAGTCGCATCTAGGAATCGTCCTGTCACTTCTACCAACCGTCCAGTCGCATCTCAGAGGTCTTTGCGAGACCCACTAGTAGTGTTTTCGCATGTTTGACACTTGGCATGAGACTCGGCACGAAACATCTGACACCACATGTTCATATAGCTCTGTTTAACCAGACTTTTCTCAAGCGTCGCGAACATCAGGCAAACTGTTTCGATCAGCACCGTCGCCCGTTTTCCGATGTCTGCGGCAGCGTTAGTAACGGAGCGATGGAGGCTCTTAGGCACGCGAAAGAAGAGTATATAGTCGCCCTCGACGCTGCGCTTCTTCTAATAACCAGATCTGCAGCGCATTTCCCATCTTCTACTACCTTTCTACTACCATCGATATCTTCTACAGCATCCTTCTTAATATCCACTACTACTCTTAATTGTCATCCTGACATTTCGACTTAATCCAAATCACCTCAACCTAATACAAATCATCATGCTTTTCTCGAACATCGCAATTGCGGCTTTGGCCCAGAGCTTGACTGCCTCCGCTGCCACTATGATGGTCACTGTCGCTGCCAACAACAAGTTCCAGTTTACGCCTAACTCTATTGTTGCCCAACCCGGTGACATGGTCGCTTTCAACTTTGTTAGCCAGGTACGCATCCGCTTCCATCACTTCACTACTACTCCAACAGATACTGACTCCGTCCTCACAGAACCACAGTGTCGCCTCCTCCGACGCAAACAGCCCCTGCCAGCCCCAGGCGAACGCCATCTTCTCCGACTTCCAGCCCATTCCTGGTAACCCCAACGGCTCCCCGGGTGCAGGTGGCGCTGGCGGCGCTGGTGGTGCTGGCAATGCCGCTGGAGCTGCCGCTGCCGCTAACGGTAAAGGCAACGGCCGCAACCGCAACAACAACCGCCAAGCTGGAAACACACCCATGTTCATGGTCCCCGTCGTCGACAACCAGCCCATGTACATCTACTGCTCGCAAGCCCAGCATTGCCAACAGGGCATGGTCATGGTTATCAACCCGCCCAACGCTCAGGCTGTAACTCAGTACCAGAACCTCGCTGCTCAGGCAAACAACAACGTTTCTCCCCAGGGTGGCATCAGCGGCGGACAGGTCGTTAATAACCTCGCTGGAACTACTCCCAAGAGCGTCCTCGGCGGCACGGCTGGTGATGCGGCAACGGCAGCGAAGGCGGCTACAAACGGCAATGGCAAGGGCAAGGGTGGCGGTGCTGCTGGTGGTGGTCTTGCTGGATTCCTTGCGGGCCTTGGTAAGAACAACGTCGTTGTTGAGACCAGCTCCAAGAAACTCTTCGGCTTCCCCGGTGCTGGTGCTCTTGGTGGTGCTGGCGCCCTCGGCGGTGGTGGTGCGGCCGCGGCCCTTGCTGGAGCTGGTGGAGCTGGAGGTGCTGGCGCAGCTGCGGGCGGTGGTGGTGCTGGTGCCATTGCTAAGAGTGGACTCAAGGGTTTCCTTAACGGACTTGCTCAGGGCGCCAACTAAGCATGCACATAAATAGAATAGATATATTTGGTTGAGTAGGAGGTCGTGGGTATGGGGTCGGAGCTGTATGGTACAAGCACGACGATATCGATGGTAGTAAAAAAATGCTGGTCATTGAAATGTAAATAGTAGTAATATATGTCTTACGAACTTTATTGCGATGGCTTCTATGCATTTCGGTGAGCGCGTCGTGGGAAGTTGGGTTGGTCGCAGTGACGTCACTCTCACATTCTCAAGTAGCTATTGTTCAGCGACGCTCCTTCACCCACAAACCACGCAACAGACGGCGTATGAGATACACATCTATAGCTTCCCCGAAGCGTTTGGAAAAATGCTACTTGGTCGATACCGCCATAAGTCGTCACTAACAGAACGCATGTCATCACGACCCAGGGCGCGCAGCAAAGTGAGAGTAAGTACACACTGTTTCCAGAACAATAGTATGAAGCCGAAATATCCGCCTTTCTTTGTCCAGCACAGCTTCACTTGCTATGTTCCTCGCGACGGCACAATGGTAAGCCACAACAATGGTAAGCAGGTAGACAGCTCGCAGCTCACTGTCCATGCGTCCACATATACCTCGATATCTACTTCTTCCAACCTCCAGACACGACTCCTACTTCTCTCAAATTTTGCTTCACGATTCAATATTGCAATAGAATCGACATTCTATATACACGCCTCTCCTTGTAGCACCACCAACCCCAACATCAACACCAAAGTCCACAAACCACACCCATCAGACACAACGACACGATGCTGGAAACCATCTCACAGCTGCTGGTCCAGCTCTTTGCCTTCCACCTCCTAACCAAGACCATCATTCCCACTTTCGACTTCCCCATCCTCAGCATCTCTATATTCGTCAACGACACTGCACGGCCCCCATCTTCTCTTCCATCCACACAGGCCCGATTCCAGCACAAGCCACACGGCATCAGCAGCAGCAAGCAACGGACGCCAAAGATGAAGAAGCCAAGGTGCAACATTACGCCCAAGATCAACGAGATATCGTCTCCGGGTCTCCAGTGTGCGACTATGTAAGGGAGAGTTGAGAGAAAGGTTGAACGGATGTTGAGCGCTGGTTCGCTGGTACATGGTTTATCATGGTATGTTGATTACGTTCAAAAGATTTGAGTACGTCTTACTGATTGTAATGGTAGATTTGCAGCGGTGAGCGCTAATGAACTCTCGGGTATCTGAGATGTGTCGGGGGATGGGAGGACGCAGAATTTGATGTTCACGTTATACAGCGGATTGATGGAGGTCTTTGCGATATTTTCATTCTTCTTCTCAACAGCATCGAGGGTTTACGTCGAGTGTACATCACCATCGTACCATACGGAGCAAGATTGGAATACTTTTTGTATAATCTCGATAGTGTCCTAGAACTCGAAATCTACTATGTCTCTATATGCAAGCAGTGTATGGAATCTATGTATTGGGATGTTGCTCCCCCATCAAGTGTGTTCATCGACTAATCACACTCAACGACGCTTGCCCAGCATCTCCACACCCAAGCCATCCTTGCCTTCCTCACGTGTAATCTGCTCCGCAGCCTTGACGAGATCGTATGTAATGTCGTCTCCAACAACGCTGTCCTTGTTATACTTAGGATGCGTTTGGACGAAATGCCTGATCCACTTGGCGGCAGTCCAGTATGTTCCATTGGCGCGTTTGCGGATCAAGTCCAGGTATGTGGCGAGATCGCAACGTGTTTCAACATCGACGTTCATGCTGTTGAGGTAGGATTCCACAAGCGGGATGAGACCTGGGAAGCCATTGCCATCGGAAGTAGCCTTGCCGTTGATGACTTCATTGATAGTCATCTGCTCATACTCGTCTTCGACTGGGCCGGTGGGCGTCGCTGGGCGACTGGCGTTTCCAGCTGGTGTAGATGTACCCGTTCCGCCCGACTTGTGTGCCGAGAAAGGGTCCTTTCGGAACCAGAATTTCTGCGTCGATACAGCGTCGCGAATGTGCGCTGTTTCCATGTTCTCGCTCACTAGCGTGATGGGAATGTAGAAATTGAGGTTGAATGAGAGGATAGCACGGGTCAGTAGCACAATGAAGATCGAAAATGCAGCATTTTCGAAATCCGTGATTTGGATCTCCATGGGCCGGAACTCGACGCGCCAGCCCATGTCGGAACTAGCTGGCGGTGGCTTGAAGCGCATGTGCTGCCAATTGGTCGACTGCAGGTTTTCAAAGTGGTCAGCCTTGGTAAGGTCCAACTCTTGAAGATCTTCGGCGAAAACGACAATGGGATCGCGGATGAACAGGTGAGCAAAGTGTGTCGCTAGGAGATCGTCCATGCCACCCTCGACGAGCCGTTGCTTGATGTCGCTGTCAATGATGAGATCCGGGTCAAGATACTCAGGGCGTAGGCGAGGATCTTGGGAGATGTAGGTTGAGTTTGATGCGTAGCGAGATTTGGGTAGTCGCCATCGGTCGTTCTTGAGCGGCTATGACGTGTCAGCGGATTCTTGACCCCCCACAAGCACATGACTTACCTTCTCCCCAAGTTCTTCAGGCGTACGATCATCGACCGCCCTGCTAATCTGGTTCCACCGCACATCGGTGTCGGCCAGGAAGCCCTTGTAGATGGGGGTCGCCGCCGTCAATGCTAGCAGGATAGGTGCTATCGGACTGAGCTGGTCGTACATCTTCCTTCCCTCTTCAATGTTTTTTGCTTGGAAAGTGATCTGCAGACAGCAGCTTCCCATGCCAAAAGCCATGGCATCCATGTGGATGTAGTTGTCCTTGGCAGCGCCATTGCGCACGTCATCATCTTCAGGCCAGTTATGCATGTCATAGTTGACTGTAGGATCCTTCCACGGCCATGGCGTGTTCTCGTCCTTGAAGACAGGGACGTTTACTTCGACCTTCCGGCCCCTCCGCCAACGAATGTTTGCTGCCAGCGTGGGAAACCGAATGTGTGGATTGGCAATTTCGTCCGGAACAAACTGGGAGCGCAGCTTGGGTCCTGAAACAGGATATGATGGTACGATACAATCGGTCGATCCAAGACGAGGGAACGTCGTTAATGTGATTGGAAACTCGGTCTGTGCCATGTGATCCTTCGCTATGGTTCGTCTGCAGGAAAGGTGAGCAATCACTTCATCGACGATGAGGTGGTCTGATCTACCTCCATTTCATGTTTGGTTCAACGTCAAGCAGGTCCTTGAAGCCAATGCCCCAGGGCTTCCCAGGAGTTGCTTCGAGCATGAATCTGCCGAACTCAGGATGGAACACCGGCGCCGGGTTTTCCTTCGCGCTGCCATGGTCAGTACAAGACGTCCATATCTGGACAGTCAGGCTCACTCGGCGTCTCCGGTTTGCAAGTCAGGTACCCCGCCGCCCTGCTGCAGAAGCTTTTCATCGTTGGCCAGCGCAGCTAGGATATCAGCCTGACGGAGCGATAGTCGGACCTTGCGGTTGTCCTGGTCATAGCAAACAACCAAGTACTCGATCTGGACGGCAGTCAGTCGCCGACGCTGCAACGGACGAGCGGATGGTGATCCTTCACCTCATCTCCCCAAAGAAGGGCATCCCTCTCCTTGCCTTTAGCATTGCGCCAGATAGCGAGTAATTGCTGTCAATCACATCAGTACGTAGTCCTCCGGGGTCTTGTCACCGAGCGTACTTCAATTCCCCATGACCTGACCTGGCCAGCGACTTTCTTGGCCTCTGGCCAGTCAAGAGGCGTTCCAAGGGCACTTGATATGGCATTAGCGAGGGCGGCGCGCAAAGTAGCACGGATCTCACAGCAGACCCATCCCCAAGTTCTGTAAGGCGTTGCGGTAGGCAGTCCAATGCGGGTTGGTGCACGGGCGGGCCGAGCAGACGTGTGAATGGGTGGCTTCTCGTCTTGAACGGCGATTGCGGGGAGGTGTTCGGGGAGCACTGCAGATTATAGGACGTTTAGCGGGGTTTGATGCAACGCAGGGCTTTTGCAGTTTTGGACGCGCTGCAGACGCCTCGGTTTCCTGCGTTATCAAGGGATCGTCGAATGGCGGGCGATTGAAGGAATGGCAATTTCTACGCGCTCCGCTGGCATCGACGGGCAATTTGCAGAGCTAGAGTCGGGTGTATGGATTATTAATGCGCGATGCAGTAAGCAATTCCTGTGGCCCCTTCCGAGGAGGAAAGCCCCGCCGATGACGCTTGCCTCTTTGGTAAGCTGGTCACGACATCAACTCACTGTGACACTTCTGCTGTGCGCGCATTCCATCTTTCTTTGCGCAACATGGTTGGGCATCCTGACAGCGAGCCCGCATGTACAAATGCGCACGGCGTAGTCTCCTACTGTCCATAATGCGCCTCGCCTACCGCTGTCTTCAACCACGTGCACGCATGTCGCTACGCCGCGCGAAGCCCTCCTACTGGCGCAAGACCACGCCGCGTACCTAGGTTGAGAATCCCGATAATGTACGTTGCGAAAGGGTCCCCTTGGATACCATTGTCGCGGGCCGCGGGCTCCGGTGGCATGATACCGACCGCGCCGCAAGTATTGGCACCAAAAGCGTCGACGACATGTCTCTTCTTTGCTCTACCAAGCCGGCTCATTTCTTGGGCGGTGGTGTTGTCTGAGCTAAGCAACCGCCACTGCGGTACTGCACGACCAGGATCGGCTGCTGCTAGGCGTGCCGCACACTTTGCATCGTCGAGGTGCACATCGCCTTGCATATTGGGGGCACCAGAACGCAAGGTTATCGTGTCCTCGCTACTCTGGGCCTTCTGCAGCTACTTGGGTTGCAAGGTGCGACTCCGATGAGTTGTTATTTGACAGATGATACAATATGCGGGCAGCCTGTTTATATTGGGACGAGCCTGCGTCAGTCGTGGGCTGTGGTGCGAGCACTGCGGCACCCTTCTTCACACACTCGAGGAGCAGCGGCTATCCTACGACTGTGATGCGCAAAGTGAAACAGGATTTAAGGTATTAACTTCTAGATTCAATAACTTCTACGTCGCTGGGCCTGAAAGCCGGTGGTATCTCTTTGTAAACGCCTGTCAAAATCCCCAAAGACTCGCACACTTCTAGTAAAGTGTGTCGCGCAAGAATGCCTAGAAGAACAGTAATCGTGAGATGGTAAGCGCTTGTTTCGGCGCACCGAAACGCCCAACCTATGATCGAGCCATCCTAGCAGATGGTGATATACAGAGAACGCCTTCAGCCAGTCTGCGGGCCTGGAAACCCTTGTGTATGTGCCAAAATGCAACTACCACTACTAAAAGACAAGCAAGAAATAGACCGTAGTATACGTGAAGCCCTAGTGCCGAGCGTGGCATGATGTTCTGGATCCGTTGTGGGCAACATCGGTGTGTTGACACGGAGGCACCGGTTCTCCCGGTTCGCCGTCTCCTCCAGAGTCGACCAAGCCGTCTGCAAATGACGTCCCTAAAAATGGTATATGGGACCGCCGAAAATGTGAATGATACAGGGTCATGGTCTCTAGTAAGACCCGCCAGTAGGCATGGGCCCTCTTTGTAAATGCAAACAGTATCTGCGCCAACACTCCTATGTAGTGAAGATGATGGAGACGTGTGATGGTGGTAACAAGCCCCAGAAAGATGTCGAAGCAAATATGTACGGCTCCAGGGTGATATGTCGGGTTAGAAAATTACTGTGGTCGATGATCACATCGTGGGTGAACCGTGGTCAATGGATTTGGGTCGTAAGTTTGAGCTGGTCATGGCTTGCTTGCCACCCATTTTGCGGGTGAGCTTTGCATAGTCTGAAGGCAACGTTAGTCTGGGAACACATATACTATTGTGGATTGACAACTTACGTAGACCGCAAGCATTGCACAAAGTCCTGGCGCCATCTGGCCCTCTTCGCCACTCAGGGGTCTCGGCTCTATTGCAGCTATGGCATCGACCTGGCGGCGCAGCTCGCTGTCAGGTGTGTCAGTAAGAGTAATCAGTTGGTGGGGTGTGGATCACTTACGCCTCGTTTCCGAGTCTTGTTATCGCCACCAGCAAAGCCGCCCATGCCTTTGTTGTCGTCACCGTAGTTGCTTGCATTGTCATCGTAGCCATTCATCGGTCTGTACCGTGGATCCTGAGGAGGCTCCACGATGCTCGCCTGTTGATGATTGAAAACGACGTCTCGCATTCGCTGTAGGGACATCTGAATCCTTTCGCTTTGCTTAAGCATATCGTCGACCTCTTCTAACCGGGGCATTGACTGTGGTGTCATGCCAATGCGTTGGTTCTCATGCGCGCGCTGTCTGTAGATCTTCGAAAACTCTGCAATGCGTCCGGACCCGTCGGCCATCTCGTTAAGGGAAGCCTCAAGATCGAAACTCTCCAGATGGCGCTTGACTGACTCGCCGTATGGAGCTAGACTTGATCGACCGATCTTCTTCTCTTCCAAGCGAGCCATTTCGGAGTTGTCCTGCCACGATTGTGGGGGATAACGGGGTGGGGCAGAGTAGGTCGAGCTTGCCGGTGGGTAGGCAGAGTTAGGAGCACTTGCTGAGGGGGCCGATGAAGGATAGCCAGGGGGATACTGCGTGTACGGGTAATGATGGTTCATGGGTCCCGTTGATGGAGGAGCAGGGCTCTCGTAGGTGGCTGGTGGTGGCGGATACGACGGATATGAGACGCTGGGGCGAGTTGCGCTCGGTGGCGGGGATTGTGCAGTCTTCAGTGGGTGAAGTGCAGGTAGTTTTGAATTGTGTTGAGGGGTAGAATACGGAGGCCGTGGATCTGAGAAGGGCGGACGAGGCAGGGCTTCTGACTGGACCTGAGGCGGCTGTCGAGAGACTGTGGGTGATGCTGGGGCCCCGACAAATGGACTTCTTGGGTATGTGAATGGGTTGGAGGGTCCTTGGCTGGCGTGCTGGAGATCAGATGGAAAGTGTCTTGGCCGCGGCTCGGCGGGAGAAGCAGCAGCAGACTGGGGATGATAATGCTGAGGAGCTGAAGTGATGGCTGAAGGTGGAGGCACTGTAGCTGGGAATGGCAGCGGCTGTTCCGAACCTAGGGCTTCATGTATCGATGGCAAGGATTGCCGGGCCGTGGGTCGTTGCGACTCTTTCTCGTCGCCAGAGGTCCTGCGTGAGTCGGGAGGAGACAATAGGCCTCCAAGCGAGCCGGGTACTGCGCTGGCGACTGACGATTGGTGATTGCTGTGCAAATGCGGCGGCCCCGCGTAGGGGTGCAACGGGCTGGGCATGGTAGCAGCAGCGGCGGCAGAGTGTTTTCTCTGATACTCGACCTCTTCGCGCTTGACTCTATCGGCGTCCATGTGGTTGATTGACGGCAGACCAATGCTACGGCTAACAGTCAGCACCCGTACTGCGGGAAGGGAGCGGGGGCCAAACAACATACCTTTGCCTGTTGCCGGCATCTATGGTTTCCATGGTGGGTCCTGTGTCGGACGGGTCGTGGTGGTGGGATGCGACAGCGAACTGCTGCGGCAACGCGATGGCGGGGAATCGTGGGTGCCGCGACGTTGATGTACCTTCCCGCACAACGTTGACCAGCACGGAGACCTGAGGTCGTTCCTTCCCGCACAACGTCAATCGCCACGAAGCGTCTCACTTTGCTCTTTCCTCCGCAAGCGTGGCCAAGCAATTCAGTCCGATTCTTCCAAGCCCCACAGTGATGTTGCAATTGCAGCCAAAAGCCGGATTTCAGCAGTGGCGACGTCCGGATCTCTTTTTCTTCAACGAATGGATCGGTAGGCAGGCAGAATACCGGGTGTTGTTGATGTTGTTGTCGCTGCCGCTCTTTCTCTTGTCGATGCTGTGGCTGACGTAGTGTCGCGGGCACGACGGCCGTGGAAGGATCGCTTGCGTCGATACACACTCAATACCGCACTATGTGTCCGTCTCTTGCTGTGCGTCGGTCTTGGTGCTCCGAGGCGGCGCTGGTGTGTTGGATGATGTGGAAAAGAGATGGGCAGGTGTGACATGGGCGGAGGAGCGGCGATCAGACAAAACCCGTGATCTCACAGCACACTACGCGGAATTCAGCGCCTCCTCTATGCCTGCAGGCATGGTGTGAGAGGAGACGAGGGCTAAGACAACCGCAGCGGGCTAAAGCAGATGCGATCGGAGATGAACCGCTCCGGCAGCAAGTAGTCGCTCAGTGTGACGAGGATGTGCAGCGCGCGGACTAGGATGCTCTGGATACGGCACGTCTGTTTGCCCCAGCAAGGATGTGGGTGGAGAGGGCGGTCGCTGGGTGTTCTTGATGCAACACTGGAGCGCTCCAGCGGGCTCCTAAAGCGTCCACCCAAAGGGCAAGGATATGCGACACGCCATGCCCGCCCTTGCAACGCTTGCCCGATCAGATCGCGCAGCCCCCTAAAAGCAGCAAGTCTGATTTTTCAAGGCGCCATGGCGATGCTGCATGACGGGCCCACGTCCGTTGGGCGGTGGCGGCTTGGGCGTGGGCTGGCTCGTCGCCATTTCTTCTGCTCGATCCGCAGCCGTTACGACCAGGGACATCAATCGCGACCGCCATCCGCGCGAATGGGCACCCCGCGCACACGAGGTGAGATGCGCCCATGCCCGAACAGGAACAGCCCGCCGCCATGGCACGAATTATCGTTGTGGCATGCAATCGAGATGCAACCGAGCTTCCATCATGCATCCACCCCGGCCTGCACCCACGCCCGTCCTGTCACTCCGTCCCTTGGCGCCCACAGCCAGCGAACTGTCACCCACCAGCGCCGACGCCTCGCACAGCACTTGGTCGGTACCGGAGCCCTCCACTGCTGTCACTTGCGGCCGCCGCGCGCCAGAAGTCATGTGTTGGGCACCAACCCTCCGCCGACGGTCTATCGCAACTTCCTGCCAGGCACTTAACCTGACACCACTTCGGGAATCTCCATCGCCCCAGGGGTGCCCGCGCATCTGAATCGGTGGCAGTGCGATTAGTGCAGCGGGGCTGCGGACGCCAGAAGCGCCCTCACAGAAAAAGGCACATGGTGCCGAAGAACCATCTCAGCTCGCCAGATCCCATCGGCCCGACAGGCTTCGATTCATGAACTTCCATCAGACGTCTGAGCCAGTCTTATCGCGTGCATTTGGCCAGTCTATCCATCAGCCCATTTCTTGCCATTGCTCTGTCCCACTTCTGCTTCGGCAGCTTCGCAAGCAGGCTTCGCAGGCGTACCTCTCGGTTACGTCAGTAGTCGCTAAACCCCCTCAACTATCTGCACTGGCTCCATCTTGCTCCGAACCATGCAACTCCAAGCGCTTGACCGTTGACGCCTACACGTGTTTAGTGTAACGCATGGAATCACCTTCTGCACGACGGCATCTTGGTGCGTTCGCGTCTGTTAAACGTCCGTGCTATGACCAATGCGCTCCGGCGCTGTCAAGTCAATATCATCAGACCGTAACCGACCCAAAGATCGCTGGCACGCTATTAACAAGTCTCCGTAGCGATCCAGCTGTACCAGTGGGACCGTCAGCCATCTACGCTCGTCATCTCTTACTACTCACGCCTCGTACCCTGCGAACCTTGATGCAACCTTAAGGGCCTCTCGGAATTTTCCTCACGCCGGCTGACGACGGTCTGAGTATATGCGCAAGCCGAGTGAAGTGACTGTCGGCGTCATCTTTCCGGTCCGGTCACCGTTCAACACCGCTCTGGATATTGGGTGCAACGTGATTGTTGGGCGCCGCAGCATGCATCAAACCACATATTCCATGTCCCACAGCCTTTGAGTGCCTCTGTCCATCTTCACTATTCTCATGGCCGCCGCTCGTCCTATGCTGTAGTGGCTGCGATATGGATAAGGCGCAAGCATGAACATGGTATCGGTGGCTTGTAACGTTGAACCGGCGCAGACGCTCGGTTGCGCCATCGTTGAATCTCGCTAAAACATCCTTCTATGTACGGTACGCCTTAACACAACACAACGGCTAATTTTGGCTGACTTCTCGACACCACCTTGCAGCACACGTCCGATTGACGAGTGTCCGATCCGGAGTCATGTCTGGATTTCCAAGCAGCCGGCATCTGACATGCGCCGGTTTGCGCAGTGTTACATGGTGCGGAATCCAATCATGCGCTGATGACTGACCCATGTACTAATGGGCAGGGTCGAAAGCTCTGTTTCGTTTCAAAACGCACATTGTGAGGGATGAATCAAGTTCAAGAATTACCTCTCATGTGACTGCTCTTTGAGAGTAACTTTTGCTTGAGAACTTGAAGGAATTCGAGATAGCTGGTCCTCATTCATCCACCGGACCTATCCATGGATCCCAAGCTCAATGTGTCGGCGTGAGCCACATGTACCTAGTATTGCTGACCCAGCAATCTAGGTTCCAGTTGTGTCTTTCCTGTTGGAAGAAGACACCCTACCCTTGCATGTCCGGCACTTGGTTCAGCATCTGAATTCGACCATGCAAAATGTATCGGTATATCGACTTCATTGGTCTCTTATCCTAGCTTTGTGGCAGTGTGTGCCCCGCAGTGTCATATCTGACAGGCGATGCCCCACATCTCCTCCGTTCGCGACAACGCTGAGAAGTCACTGGTTTCACAATCTGAAAAGCAATCACGGCAGACATGCTGTATGGTACTTCTTCGGATTCTGTAAAGAGAGTATCCCACTCTTGATTGCGGTCAAGCCGAAAACGTGACGAGCAAGTCATGTGGCCGATGTGGCCGTTTGTTATCCGCGGCAAAAGTTGACTCAAAACTGGTCCGCATGTAAATATCGGTAAGCGACGAGATGGTCCATGCGTGATTCACATGCTACTCTCTCGGTCAGTCACCACTAGTGAGGCGAATCCTTACCAGAAGCACATGCTGCATGTCCCAGAAAAAACGCATTGGTGCTTCTCGAAGTCTGACGCTGGACAGCGAATGGCGCCGGCAGAACATGCGACACATATTAACCATATCCTTGCAATAGCATTTCTGTGCTGACTCGAGATCTCAATCATCTACCCTGGCTCGGCGGGATCGTGATCTTGTTTCGGGCACACCCTTTTCGTCTGCTGCACCTGCAGCTGCATGTATCCGATTCTGTTATCCAGGCTTAGCGGACGTCGGCCCAAATCGGTCTAATGTGCGCTGGCCGATTCGGTTTCATGCTTAAGCGACATGGTACATCACCCAGCACGCCGGTTCAGATGCATCAAGAGTATCGCATCGTACGACACCTGACGCAAGCTGCCAATTGTGTTCTGAAATCGTCTCTTCTTCAAGCTCGAGCCTTGTCCGTCATCGGGCTTTTACTCCAACCAGGATATGATCACCACGCCCATGATTCTGGTTTAGGAGCCCGCGAGGCGTAGCGATTTTCGCTCGGCTCGTCGCGGAAAAAAGTAAACGTTTCTTGTCCCGCTCTCTCAGGGTCCGCATGGCACATTCAACCTCTTTTTGGCGACCTGCGTCAAGCAATGGTCGATCGAA